TTCCAATGTTAACGCGTACATGCTGCTTCTTGCAGCGAGCAGCCCCCCCACCGCCTACCGCTGAAGTTCCAGAAGCCCCACTGAGCGCTCCTTCAGAATGTGGCGATGTAGTTGCCGTCTTAGATCCGTTTTTGTATCTGTAGTTGCACGGCGGAGCATGAACGCCTGTGCCTTGCTTAGTTTCTCACTGTCAGCTCTCGGTCATAAAGCTAGCTAGCCAGCCTCTCACAAGTTAATAAACGCTCAAATGAACGAGGCGGAGCGCTGCGCAAAAAAAAAACAAATCGTTATCTTTTTCCGAGCGGAAGTCCGTAGTACTACAGTAGTACTTCGAGGCTGTGCGAATACGGTAAAGCGCATTGAAACTCGTGCCGTCTACATTTAGTCGGTAGAGTAGAAGCTATCGCCAGTTTAGTGAGCGGCTAATTCCTTAACCGTTAAGTTAACCGACCGGAGAAGTACTACACGGATTACTACGTGGTACTATAATACCAAAGTACGCTGTACTGTTATATCAATCCCTGCTCACAATATTTCACGCACTTTGTGGGAGATAAATTTATTCTCAATTCCGTATTAAGTAATACTACAGCACATGTACCCTCACTACCGTTGCGCGCACCCATTGCGCGAGTCAGCTCGGTAGTAAGTAAACGTACCAGCAAATATGCCTGCGGTCACTAAAGAGCGAGGACGCCTTCCATCGGCTTCTTTCTCTTCTCGCTCCAGCGAGCCGCTACTTCTGCAAGAGACACCAATCCTTACACCGTGCGGCTGGCGCGGATCGAACGCTGCGTGTTCGTCACCACAGAGTGCGTCATCGTGGGGTGGCCCGCGTTTATGCGCTCCGTGAACGCCTTGCTCGCGTACGTGTTCTTCGTCAGGATGTAGTTGACCGTGAACTTGATCAGGTCAAGCGGGAACTGCCACACGATAGCCCACAGCCAGGCAATCAAAGTGTAGCCGCCGCCGCAGCCGATCACGGCGATACGGTCCGTCGGGTAACCACCGAAACCAATCCAGCCGATCACCGAAGCAACCACCTGGGCGAACACGAAGGCGATCAGCAGCAGGTTGCACGGCTTCTCCGCGAAGAACCAGTTGTTGCTGCCGGCCGTACGCGTCACGAAGATCAAAGCCTGGCCGGAGATAGACACCTGCAGGTACACCAACGAGCGGAGCACACCCTCCTTGCGCTGGATGCCAGGACCGATCATCTCGTTGTCGCGAGTCCACGTAGAGTTCCAGTTGCTAAAGCCCCACACGTAGTCACAAAAGCTGACCTCGTTCGTGAGGGGCACTTCGTCCTTACCAATGAAGGTGACGCCCTTGCCCAGCTGAGCAGCGTTGAACACGTCGTAGTCGCCCTCATACGCCTCACCGCCAGCACCCAGAGTGTACGTGTACACGAACTGGTTGTACGCAGCCTCAGCCGACGGCTTGGCGTCGTTCGGCAGCCAATTCAGGTGCACGTCCGCAAGGTCCTCGAACAGTTTCGAACGCGAGTCGTACTTGTCCTGGTACTGCGTCCAGTACGCGTTGATGGCGCTCTCACGGAAAGAACCCACGTCCGACACACTGGCAGCCTGCGGCACGCTACCCGTCATCTCACCGCAGCCAGTCGCGTTGTTGTCCATCACGCACGT